AAAAACTTCTGAATTGAATGAAATTTTTTAGGGATGATCTTTGAATGAGGACCAAAAAAAGGAACAATTTTCATCATAAAAAATTATATTAAAGAGTAAGTCGAACGAGTGCTTACCGCCATATTAACTTACTAACTGGTTACTTGAAGAATATTGTATATACATGTGAGGAAAATAGATTAAATGACATGAAAACCCAATGACCTTTGAATGGGCCAACGGGTAGCCTGAAGGAAAGAATCTTGACTTACATGCCAATGATCTCATGTTTAAATAAACATGGCATCTTAATAGTGAGAAAACCCCCTCCCTCAATATTACTGGTAAAAAAATTAATAATAAAAAAAGCCTTTGAATGGAGGAGCTGTCCATATATTATAAGCATATGTGAATATATTGACATGTGGTGGCTTGGCTTGCTGATCCGTCAACGGTGGAGATGCAAAGGTGATACAATTTTTAAATTTAGGTTAATTGCCAGGGCCTTAACTTTATTAAGTGCTTCTGTTCTGGGGCATCGTGTAACCACTCCACCAACCAAGAACACTAACTTAATGGCCAGGCCACCCGTAATCATTCATTCACTCTTTTATATTTATTCAGATGAGAGACCAATAACTTTATGCAAGATTCATTTAGCATAAAGTTGGAGTAAAAGACAAATTTTATTAAAATGTAACCTATTTTTGAAAATAATAGTATGAATTATGCTGCAAGTTGCAACCACATGTACTTTTCTTAGTAGAAGCACATAAATATATTGTGGAAGCACATAAAACAACCAAAATTATGGGGAGGTAAGCTCTTACGCATTGGGACTGGGACGACATGTCACTCTAAAATTAAAGAAAAGTTGACTAGTCAACCAAAGTGAGATGAATTCTGAAAATACTGTTTTTGAGTTTCCATTCGATCACCCCATACGTCATCCAAGCGCAACACAAAACCTCATTCACTCTCTCTCTCTCTCTCGCTCTCTATATATTCTTCAATCGTCAAATAAACCTATTCAGTATAGCAATTCGCAGCATCTCTCTCTCTCTCTCTCTCTCTCTCTCTCATACTGAAACTTACAATAAAGAGATAAAATGGTGACGCCTACAGAGCAAGAACACCCCAAGAAGGCTTTTGGATGGGCTGCCAGAGACTCATCTGGCGTTCTCTCTCCCTTTAAATTCTCAAGAAGGTCATTATTCATTCTAATTTCTCCATCTTATTTAATGTTAGTTTTTTTTATTTCGATATGATTTGTCTTTGGTTTTTTTGAATCTTAAGATGCTCATGTCTTAGTAGGATTTATCCAGGATCTCATCACATTCTTTAACTTCAATTAATTTTTGGCTGCAGAGAAACTGGAGAGAAAGATGTGACGTTCAAAGTGTTGTATTGTGGGGTATGCCATTCGGACCTTCACATGGTGAAGAATGAATGGGGTTTTTCTACATATCCTCTGGTTCCCGGGTACGTCAATCCACTAAACTTTTTGTTTAATTAGTTGATTAGGAGCTAATGTAATCAATCTACAAATTAAAGCGATAAATGCGGTGTATGCATTAAAGTTTAGAAATTAATTAATTAAAATAGATTATGACAACGATTTAATCAAATTGTAACATTAATTTGGCAATGCAGACATGAGATAGTTGGTGTAGTGACAGAGGTAGGGAGCAAAGTTCAAAAATTCAGTGTTGGAGACAAAGTAGGTGTTGGATGCATGGTAGGATCGTGCACATCTTGTGATAGTTGTTCCAACAATCTTGAGAATTACTGTCCCAAAATGATACTCACCTATGGTGCCAAGTACATTGACGGAACCACCACATATGGAGGTTACTCCGACACCATGGTGGCCGATGAGCACTTCGTAGTTCGTATTCCGGACAACCTACCCCTTGATGGAGCTGCTCCTCTCCTATGTGCTGGGATTACAACTTACAGTCCCCTGAGATATTTCGGACTTGACAAGCCTGGTATGCATGTCGGGGTGGTTGGCCTAGGCGGTTTAGGTCACGTGGCCGTGAAGTTTGCCAAGGCTATGGGGGTTAAGGTTACGGTGATCAGTACCTCACCTACTAAGAAGGAGGAAGCAATTGAACATCTTCATGCCGATTCGTTTTTGGTCAGTCGTGACCAAGATCAAATGCAGGTGCTTATTTGAGCAATTAAGTTTACTTAATAACTTTAAGTGGATTTTGTGTAGGGTGGGTGCCCTAATGTACTTTTCTTGATTTAATTTGTAGGCTGCTACTGGCACAATGGATGGAATCATTGACACGGTTTCTGCCTTCCACTCTCTTTTGCCT